AGAACTATTTATTCAGACAGTCTTCACCCTGAACCAACATGTGCTGAATAACTGTCGAGCATAATTTGGTGCCTGTAAGATTGACTCCTGTGACTAATCCTCTGTTGAGTCCAATCTGAACACAATGTTCCCCTTCCACACTAGAGCCACCTCCAGACTGTGCCTGCAAGCCGAGGGTGGGCTGGTCTTCACAGACAGGTGACTCCCTGAACATTGACCTTACCGGGAAGTGTTGGCTGGTGGTCATGTCACCATCTATCAACATTCTAAAAGTGGCAGGATCATTTACAAGGCAGACTCAGGGTGGCCTGCTGTGAGACTGTCCTCCTTGACCACTGAGACTGGGATAATAAGCAATGGCACCGCAGTGCATCAGAAAGTCGTACTTCACTGAGGAAGGATAAATGAAATCAGCCTTACAGACATCCGCAAGACAGGTGTGGCCTGAGCGGGACAAAAGTGGCTTGGGGCGAGCTGATCGCTACAGATCATGAGCTGAGCGCTACAGATCAGTGCGCTAACATGCCTTCACCCTTCCCTAGTGGAGGAGCGCCCTGTCTGCCTGCTGCAAGCACTGTTGGGTGCTCAGTGGCTTTCAATCCCTTCCTGCTTCATCTCCTGTCACCTGCCATGCTAGAGCTCCTTGTGCGGAGTGGGCCAGAGTGCACCATTGCATTCCCAGCCTCCCTTGGAGGAGCCCTCCTCCTGTTTAGTGCCTGATGTGGGAAGCTCTGTCTGCTGGGACCCCCGGCAGATGGTGTCTGCTTCCTGGAAGTCTTCCCCGACCAGCTGGCCTTTCTTCCTTTTGCTAAATCTGAGAAATGCTTCCAGAGCATCCTTGTGGATGCACTCTGGTGGAGAGAGAGCTACTTTGTGCCTCCAACATTATTGACGTTGGACATCAAGGACCCTTGTGGGCTTACGACAAGCTGTTGGGGGGGAGGCACTTTATGGCACTGTTGGCAAAGAAAAGCTAACTTAGCAAGTGCACACAGTGGAAGTGTTTTGCCTTTTAAAAAGTCACAATTTAAAAAAAAATGTATTAAGTATCTCTTTACCAGAAAACGTGGTAAGAGTATCTCTCAAAGAACTCCCCATAACTTTTTTAAGGAGAATATTTATCTTTATTACTTTTAATGGTGTCCTGGACACACACGCACGCACACTCACAAAAGCTGGAGGTGCTGCATTTCCGTGGGGTGAGCCACACCCTGACTCACACACTGTAGGAACCTGACTAGGGTTCTCTGTGAGCAGTGTCCTCAACTGTCGAGCCATCTCTCCTTCAGCTTCTGTTGTTGTAGCAGAGTCCTAATTTGAGCCCTTCTCCCTCGAAATTTGTTTGATCAAACATTTTAAAGCAATTTGGAGATTGGCAGACGAAAAGTAAGGACATGTTTAAAGAGCTCTTCAAATTCTTGCCCGAAAAACATATATATATGCTCCATACAGCATTCTGCTGTCAGAGTCGCTGAGAGCACACGCAAATTGAGCTAGACAGGCAACGGTCAGTCCACGTTTGCAGAGAAGACAGAGAATCTGAGGTAAGTGGGCACGGCCAAAAGATAGGGAAGGGTCCGTGAAGGTTACATGCAGAGGTTTAGGAAAGGCCGGGGTGGGGGTGTCACAGGTAAAACAGCTAAAAGCACAGTAAGTGGGAAATGCTGTGGCTTAACTTGGCCCATTGACTGACAAAAACAAATGTACACTGAGCCACACCAGGCAGGCACAGCAGGCAGGCCAGGCCTTACAGGTCATGGGACTAGAGGGCTGTGGAGTAATCCCAGGTCCAGTTGAGGTGAGAGTGGAGAAATAACATACACTGTGCCTTTAATGGAAGTTCCTCTTCATGAGGGAGGAGATGACAGGTGGGTGAACTGCCTTGCTTAACAGGCTAGATCATGGTTCAATTCTACACATGATCATTTGTCCATTAACTGAAAACTTAGTATATTTATCCACTTTTTAATTACATCTATCCACCCCCACCCCCGCTGTGTGTGTGTGTGTGTGTGTGAGTGTGTGAGTGTGTGTGTGTGTGTGTGTTCGAGCACACTCTCAAAGTCCAGAAGAGGGCACCGATCCCCTGAAACTGAAGTTTGGGGCTTAAGGGAGAGAAGCAAACATTCTCAACTGATCAGCCATCTCCCCTAGCCACATTTCTTCACCTTCTGGAGGGCGCACAGCACAATGCTTTGTACGTGGCTTCCCCAGTAGCAGTCAGAGCTCATCCTTGAGACGCAGGGGGATCCGGAACGCTTTAGGGTACTCCACTGACGCCAGCGAAGTCAAGGACTGGAGCCCACAGAAGGTAAGGACAACCTGGGAAGCAAAGTTGTCTTTCTGTTTTCCTTTGAGCTCTGCCAGCCCAGGGCTGTATGACTTAGGATAAATAATTTACCTTGCTTCCTTATCAGATTCCTTATCTACAGACAGGGAACTCATGGCTTTTATATGCCCTGCGCAGCCCACCTGCCCTGCCACAGTAGGCTGGGATCCTGGCGGGGAAGGTCAGCTCAAATTTCTTCCCAGGCAAATTCCGACGTCCTTGAATTAAGGGAATTTGGGTTGTGGCCCCCTCAATCCTTCCTACCTACCTACCGACCCGGGTGCTGCCTCTGTTGGAGAACAGCCACATTCAGGGTCAGAGAGGAAAAAAAGGGACCAGGAAGGAGACGATGGAGATGGCAGCGAGCATCCTGACAGAGAGCCTGGGGAACAGCTCCTGGGAAGGACATCAGGAGACTCTTGGGTGATAGCCAGGGCACAGGCAGGCCTGAGCCACCGTGGTTGGTGAGGGAAGAAGCATGGAGCCTTCAGGGAGGGCTTAGCGTGTGTGCTGCAGGGGGAGACGGAGTGTGCAGGTTCAGAGCTTCTCCTGCCGTGAGGCAGTGATCTGTTAAGCTTCACTTTCTTCCCGTGTAAACGGCAGGAGTGATAACGCCTATCTTTATGGTCAGAAAGGAATATTAATACATGCAAAGTACTTACAGTGCTTCCTGGGTCATGGCAAATGCTCACAGTGTTAGGTCTGCTAATGACAATGAGGGCCCTCAGCTGCCTCTGTGTGTTATGATGGAAAGCTCACTGTCAAACCTCTCCTGGGAACAGGGAACGAGAGGGCAAAGGTGTGGTTAGACTCCCCCAGGGCTTATCTGGACCCGACTTCTGCTTCTGCTCTCTTGTCCTGTTACTCTTCAAAAGAGTTTACTTGAAAATTAGCCAAAATCTTGGCTAACAAAATCTCACAATCTACTGTAATAATTTTTCAAGATCCTAAAAGTGATCCTAGATAAATGCACTAAATACCGTAGAAGCTTATAGTTCTACATGCTTACTATGTTATATATATATGTATGTATATACATACACATATGTATGTACAATTTTAAATTACTTTGATGAATTTCAATTTGCAGTTTTACTTGGAAGATGCTAAATTTGCATCAGCATCTCTCATAATTTTAAGAAAAAAATTAATGAGGCCACAACCACTTATTATTTTTAAAAAAATGAAGCGAGAGGGGGAATTAGGATAATTTCTTTTTCCATTTAAGAAGTGGGATGAGTAGTCTGTGGGTGGCTAACAACTCAGGAGGGCTATGGGGTGCTGTCTCCCCTGAGGCATTGTGCAGTCAAGCTGATTTCCCCTCTCCACCAGGACTTGGCTCCTCCCTGGGCATCAGGAGGAAACCGAGGTGCTTCCAAGAGATGCTCCTTTCTTCTTTTCTTTGTTTGTGGCATGCTGTCTTCAAACAAACAAACAAACAAACAGGAGTGTGGTAGATGCTAAGTGGGTGATTTGGATTGTGTAGTTTGTGTTTATAAGGCCAACCTGAGAAAGGGAAATGTTAAAAAAAAAAAAAAAAAAAACTAGGCATCACGGGTAGCATTCAAAACCTTCATCACTTGTGGAGACTGGTGGCAGGAAACCCTCAGTGGTCCATGGAGGAGGCGACAGAGATAGTCTTTCCATTTGTGCTTTACAAAGATGCCACCGAGTAAGACCAACTCCTTGGCCTCTGAGGTTGGAGCGGGGGATGATTAGGGTCAGAAGGGCAGGCTATGAACCTACTCTTCAGACGATCGGACCCCAAATTGTGTTTCTACATGCATGTGACCTTGGGCTAATCAAATTATCCTTGCATGTTTATATTTGCTCCACAGAGCTAGTGTGAGAATGAGACACTTCGTGTTGTGCGGGATACAGACAGCGCTCGATGCATTACTACCAGTTGTTAGCGCACGTTAAAGTTCTGGGACTTCTCAGTTACAGACCCTTCGAGCCGGGTAAGCTGGGAGCGGAGGACAGCAGTTGCAGCGGGATGAGCGCCTTCTGGGTCAGAGCTAAGAAAACCGCACCTCACTCTAGTGGCCCAAGGCGGAGGAGTCCCGAGTTCTCTGTGTGTAAGTGTCTGTGCGTGCTGGGGAGAGCTGGACCTGGAACCCTGCTTCTGGGTCAGGCCAGGCGCACACAGCAAACGCGCACTTCAGCCCTGGGTTCCAGGCTTGGTGCTGCAGTCCCTCGTTAGCACCCCACCTTCCTCCGCGGAGACGCGGGCGAGGGGCGCACAGCAGCACACGCCGCGGCGCACGCGCACACGCTCGCCTAGCGCCCAGCGGAGGAAGGCCTGGAAAGTTCCACCGGGATCGGGAGGCCAAGGTTGGTAGGCGCGGAGGCGGTGGCGAGCGCGCGCGTGTCGAGCGAGGCCGCCGCCGCCCACGGGTTGCCCCGGACCGTGTGGGCGATCGGATCCGCAGGCTCGGGGACCGAGGGACGGCGGGACAGGGAGAGCTGGGGCGGGGGGGGGCGGGGGGGGCGGAGCGCCGCGAAGGCGCACGCGCGGGCGCCCTCCGGGCGAGGGCGGGGCGGGGCCTGGCCGCTGTGGGCGGGGCCGCGGGGGGCGGGGCGAGCCGTCTGCGCAGCTGCCAGAGCCTTTAAGCCCGGCTCGCGCGGTCGCACGGTGCTTTCGCCGCCCGGGAGCCGACCGGCCCGTCGCCTCTCGTCCCCCACCGCGCCCCGCGTCCCCGCCCTCGGCGCCTCGCGACCCCGGCTCGCCTGGACTCGGCGCCGCGATCCTGGGCCATGCCCCGCTACGAGTTGGCTTTGATTCTGAAAGCCATGCGGCGGGTGAGTGACCTTCCCTGAGACCCGGCTCCCGCGCGGGCCCGCCCCGCCCCGCCCCGCCCCGCCCCGCGTCCCCGGCCCCGGGACACCGGGCGGGCCGGGCCCCCTCGCGCGGTCCACGGGAGGCCGGGTGCGCAGAGGGGGCGCGCATGGGTCGGGCGCTCGGCGCGGCCGCGCCGCGTGCGCGCGGGAGGCGTGTGTGTGTGCATGCGTGTGTGTGTGCATGCGTGTGTGTGTGCATGCGTGTGTGCCCGCGTGTGTGCATGCGTGTGTGCGCGGTCGCGGGAGGGCGGGCGGGCGGGAGGGGGTGTGCCAAGCACGCAGGGGCCTCGGCGGGCCTCGGAGCCCCCGGCCCTCCGGAGTCCGGTTGGAAGGACCGCGGGAGGACGCACGCGAGAGCCCAGGCCGGCCCCGCTCTGCTCCCACGCGTCGAGAAGCTGCTCGTGGTCCCCGCCGGCCGCTCGTCCCGTCCTGATCGCCCGTCCTCAGCGTCTGTGATCAATGCAACCTTCCTCCAAAGCCTGTCGGTGCCGGCCGCGAACCCCACACGCGCTTGTCTCCGCTGTCACACTAAGAGGAAAAAAAAAATCTTTTGACCTCTCTTTTTCTGACTTCAGCGAAAATCCTGCTCCTGGTACCCTTAGCCCAGTTTCATTCATCCAAGTGGTGGCCTTGCTTGTGCCCTTCCGAAGACATGCCCTCCCCCAGCTTTTGATTGAACTTGAGGTAGGGACTTTCAGGTTTGGAGGGATGATAAAGCCACCAGCAGCCCGGGCACGGACTGGGGTCGGCGGAGGCGGCGGCTCTCCTCGCCCTCTGTCCTCTCTTCTGAGTCAGTCGTCGTCGCTGAAATCCCCAGTCTCCTGAGAATTCGGTAACGTAGTGTGCTTCTGGGCCCTCTCCTCCCTCAGCAGGTATAATTTAAAACAAAACAAAAGCATCGTTGTGCCTTGCCTGTGCTTCGGGAGCCGAATTCTTCAACACTGGACGGGTCAATGTCAAGTTGTAACTTCAGTTTGCATAAACTTAAGCCCGGGGTCATGCGCTAAGCGCTGAACAGGGCCATAGTCGAGAAAGCAGGAAGGGATGTTAGGTATGCCTTATACAGGCTTGCCGGGGAAGGGACACCAGAGCCACCTGATGTCATGCCAGCATGTCCCCAAGCTTCCTTGCTCCGTACCCCTGGGAGAACTTTGTATTGCTTCACCTCTTGGTAGATTGTACAGCTCTGAAAGGGTGTAATGGGGGTGGGTGCAGAGTGTTAACCGGAAATAGTTGGAGCCTCCCTTTACACTTTATAGGTGATGTCGGAGGCCGGAATAAAGGTGACCACTGAAATTCCTTTTCGTCTTGTCTCAGGCAGGTGTGAGGTAGCAGGTGACCCCCTGGTAGTGTGGAGACATAATTTTGTATTCCTTTGGAAGAGTACTCTCTGGCTCGGCATGGTCCCCAGTAGGTTGGCTAAATGCATCCTATCTTATAGATCTGTGTTTTGGTCACTGGGATTGAGAAGCTGAGTGTAATTAGCAGACAGTAGTGTTCAGATACTCCCTACGGAAGAGGGACTCTGGGGTAGAGAAGGCACCAAGAGCCAGGGGGTCTTCAACGCAGCAGTGCTGACCCAAATAATCTGAGATTAAACGGTAACAAACAGTTTGCTTTTTTTTTTTTTTGTTCTGACCATGTAAACAGGTAACAAAGATGTTCAGGTTTTAGACAGTGTTGTTTGCTTTCAGGGTTAGAAAGTTGCACTCTAACTGCATACTGGGGTGTAGGGGAAAGAAAGGCACTTGTTTTGGTATGAAATGCCACAGCGGCTTACCCAGTAAGAGTAGGCACTGGGAGGCCAGGGTTCCAGCGGTGGGCAGTTGGCTTGTGTAGCAGGAAGGCTCAAACCCTCAGCTCTGAGCCGCATGGTGGACCCTGGCTAGTGCACCCTTGAAGGCAACAGTTGTTACCCTTCCAGGCATTTTGTGTTCTGTGACCAGAGAGTGCGTCAGGCTCTGTGGCCAGAAGGAGACTTGAGAGGAGGTCCTCAGCCTTTGTCCCCAGGTTACGCCTTTGCTGCCTCTTTGCCTACAAACGGCCTCCGTTCTGTCACTGTTTTATTGGGTTCAGCCTCAAGCTTGAATTTGAGGGTACATGTTGACCCCCCCCCCCATAGAGCCTTTACAGCAGATCGCCTGGAGAGTTGTCAGGTCCAGACCTCAGGGTAGAAGTTCTAGGGCCATCTCCTTAGCTCGGCTTTGTCATGAGCCCTTTTGTTGCGTTTCCAAGTTCATGCGTTTGTACGTGCGGACTGCAGACCTCTAGAGATTGTTGGGCTTGGATTTTAATGTATTAAAAAGCTCCCAGGCTGCTTACTCGTTGCTTCTCCTGAGTCTGGGAGGAGAGCTGTTTACCTTCACTTTGTAGTTATTTAACTTCAGGTAGGGGAAAGATAGTTGTGGATACAAGCTGATGAAGCCACATCCCATCCCTAAAGGTGTTTGTAGGGTTTTGTTTTTGTTTTTAATACGTGGAATGTATTAAAATGGGTGTAGAAGAGGAAATTCTTAGAAGAAAAAAAATCTGTGTAGTATGTAAATATTCTTTGGTCACATAGTTTAGAGACACGTCGTTAGGTCAGAAGATTGTCACACTCGGGATAGGATAGATTTGTGACAGCCCTGGGGAAAATACTTTCCTTGTAATCATGTCATCATTACTTAAGAATTGTTACTGAGTCTAAACCAAGCTTAACGATTTGAACTAGTTTGATTACTAAATGAGTGGATGTACAATGAGATTGCATTTACATGTCCTTTTATGAGACGGGTTTTTAAAAACAGGGATGGAATGAAGTGGCGTTGGGCAGTGGAGACCGGAGGGGCACAGTGTCATCCTTGTCTCCGTGGTGAGTGTGAGGCCTGCCTGGGATGCATAAGAAATGGTTTCAGAAGAGCAGAAATACAAAGTAGGGATAAGATAGGCAGTTATCTCTTTAAGTCATTAAGTTATATTCATACTCTTCCTTTTTTAACTTCACCGAAAAGCAGATTCTATTTTACAGTAACTCACTAGAGTAGTGTGTTGGTTGTGGTTGTGTGGTACCCCGTGGAGTTAGGTACAGAAGACTGTGTCCATGGTGAACTTTGTAAGATACAGAGGACGCCAAAGAAGCTAAGAGTTTCTTATCGTTTCTTTCACGGCCTGGCCAAAGTTTTTTGACTAAGTTAGGATATTTGGGAAGTAAATCTAGAACTCACAGATGGGCTGGCCAGCCTGGCCTGATGACATTTGATAAGTCGGACATGGTGGGATTTCTGTCGGTAGTACAGGAGCTTGAGTGGAAGAGCCCAGCTGTCAGGTGACTGTGTCAGCTGTCAGCCATTTTCTTTGTCTTTCGGACCCAACCATAGCAGCATAGCTTGGATCTTCAGTGCTGTCTCTTGGTGCTGTGCTTGAAGCTACACATTTTAAAACAGCTCTGTGGACAGAGTTGTATGTTGATTTGGCATTTAAGTTCTTGGGTTCCAGCTCTCTGCAGCAGTAGGTAGGTACTAGAAGAAGGAGGCCTCTTCATGCCCCGGAGCTGTGACTAAGGAACAGGAATGGCTTGGGGTCAGGAGTGCCCCCTATCAGACATACGCGTCAGAAGTTCACATTCTACCCTGATTGGACTCTTGCAGGCATGCTGATGCTCACTGTAGAGTTTAGAAGTCTAGGTTGTATTTACATGTAGATTTTCTACCAAATCTTTTCACTATAGAATCTCCTGTAAAGGCTCCAAGCATTGAGAGATGACCTGTAATAAATTCTTTCCATGTAGTACTGCTGCTGTGCTTCTCATGTTTAGTTGACTTATCTGAAGTTTGACCGAACATGAAGAGTAGAGAAGGAGGAATGTCTCATTGTGATTAATCATATGTGTAAAAATCTTGGGCAGTTTGTTTAATGCTCCTAGTTGACTTAGTCACAGGCTTTGTAGTAGACGCTGTTTATGGTATTCTCATGAGTTGATGTATTCAAGAGAAGACAGTACCCCCTTTTAATATTTCATTTAAGAAGGTCATATTGTTAAACCATCAGATGGGTTGTCAACACATACAATTATTTTTGTTTAGGGAAATCAAGTTTAAGGGATTAAGTGAATGCCTGATACGTTGTCAGTCTGCACAAAAGCAGACCCTTTGGCCTGGCCCCCAGCACTCTTCCTTCTAGGGTAGTGAGTGCTCTAAGGAAGGGTTCTCCATGGGATAGTTGGAACCCTGAGCTATCCTTTATGGCTGCGTGGAATTGAGGAAAGCCCAGGTAGCGCAGTCTGTCAGTGAGGCTGCATTGAAGTGTGACCCTGTTCAGTTGCTGCCCGTTCTTTATAAGTAGACCTTGCTGGCTTGGGTAAAAGTGTACAGACAGTTTTCTAGGTTCAGCGTCTCTCTTGGCTTGTCACGGTGCCATTTTCTGACTTTGCTTCTTTGATCCTCTCTCTTGTCACATAATTACACCTTTGACCACTTGGGTGATTGTGTGCTTCTCCAGTAAAGTCCCAGACTGGCATTTCAGACTCAGTGTGGTTCAAACTTAATGGGTTGTGGTTCCCAGAATTGCCTGCCAGTTGCTTTACCTGTTTCTGTTGCCCGGGGTGGGAATTTCTCTTCTGTAGTCTCAGTCCCTTGTGTTTTCAGGGTTGGATGACCATTCTCGGATTCTTGCAGTTTCTTAGTGGCTTCTTCTCGTCATAAGTACACTGTCGGAGTGCAAAGGTTTGTTTAACAAAGCTGAGATGAATTTTAATAAGGGAATAGCATTGGGTGTCTGGTCTTCACATTAGATGAGAGTGTGAACACACCGAAGTAGGGCACACGGCACTCTCTTCTGAGAAGACAGAGTGAGGTGTGACATCATGGTGGTCTCTGGGAAATGGACATCATGGTGGTCTCTGGTGTGATTCCCACCTATTTTTTTCTAACGTTTGCGCTGCCTGGGTTCCCCATTCCAGATGCTGCGTAAACAAATCGTGG